TTTCCAGGCAGATCGAATGGCGATGGAGGCCATACTCCGGGCGGTGCCGCCGGAGATGTTAGCTTCACTCGCCGTCAAGCCCTCGGCCAAGGAGGCGTGGGACGCGATCAAGACGATGCGAGTTGGCGTCGATCGTGTCCGCAAGTCGAAGGCGCAAATGCTGCAGAAGCAGTATGATGCGATGGAGTTCAAGGACGGGGAGACCGTCGAGGAATTCTCGTTGCGCCTCAACGGACTCGTCACCAACCTCGCCACGCTTGGAGTCCATCTTGAAGAAGGAAAGGTGGTTGAAAAATCCCTTAACTCTGTTCCAGATCATCTCTCGCAGATCGCTTTGTCCATTGAGACGTTGCTTGACCTCGATGAGCTCACGCTCGAGGAGGTCACCGGCCGGCTCCGAAACGCTGAGGAGAAGCTGCCTGCGAAGAGCTCTGCTGCCGGTGGGAAACTGTTTCTCACTGAGGAGCAGTGGACTGCCCGGTGGAAGGAGAAACAGGCCGCGGAAAGTTCCTCTGGGAAGGCGAAGTCCGGCGGTGGCAACCGTCGTCGGCGTGGTGGTAAGAAGAAAGCTGAAGCTGCTGCGCGCGATGGAGATCGTGCCGGGCGCGACACGCAGGAAGGGCGGGAACCAAACCGCGACAAGTGCCGCAATTGCGGCCGCACGGGGCACTGGGCTAAGGACTGCCGGCAGCCCAAGCGGCCTGCCGAGGCCCACCAGGCCCTGGCGGATGAGGACGATGACGAGCCGGCCCTCCTCATGGCCCATGTCGTCGACGCTGCTCTTGTGTCTGCGTCGTCTTCATCTGCGCCACCTGCTTCTTCGCCGCCATCGCAGCCTGACAAGACGATCGAGCTCGTCGAGCCAAAGGTGTTCGCGCACCTTCTCACGGAGAAACAAACCGACGGCGGCGTCTGGCATCTCGACACCGGAGCAACAAACCACATGACGGGCATTCGCGAAGTTTTCGCTGAGCTCGACCTGTCTGTGCGGGGCTCGGTGCGATTCGGCGACGGCTCCGTCGTCGGAATTGAGGGTCGTGGCAAGATCATTTTTGAGTGCAGGAATCAGGAGCACCGAGCGTTGACGGGGGTGTATTACATCCCTAAACTCAACGCCAACTTGATAAGTTTGGGCCAGCTCGATGAAAATGGGTGCGACGTCCGTATCTACCACGGTGTTTGCACGATACGGGACCCGGCGGCCCAGCTGCTCGCACGCGTTCGGCGGACGCGGAATCGCCTGTACTTGATCAAGCTCACCATTGGGCAACCGGTGTGCCTCGCGGCCAAGGCGCAGGAGTGCGCCTGGCTGTGGCATGCGCGCTACGGCCACCTCCACTTCGACGCTCTGCGACGACTGGCGAGCCGCCACATGGTGCGCGGCATGCGCGACATCGATCATGTCGAGCAGCTGTGCGACAGCTGCGTCATCTCTAAGCAGCGACGCACCTCGTTTCCACGCCGCTCCATGTTTCGTGCTAAGGATCGCCTTGAGCTGGTGCATGGCGATCTGTGTGGTCCCATCTCGCTGGCAACCCCTGGAGGCAAGACTCATTTCCTCCTGCTTGTTGATGATGCGAGCAGGTACATGTGGATCACTCTGCTGGGACGCAAGAGCGAGGCGGCTGATGCCATCAAGCGCTTTCAGGCGCGAGCCGAGGCGGAATCCAAGCAGAAACTGCGCATCCTCCGCACCGACAACGGTGGCGAGTTCACCTCTGTGGAATTCGCCACCTACTGCGCTGAACAGGGAGTCTCACGCCACTTCTCCGCGCCCTACTCGCCACAACAGAATGGCGTGGTGGAGCGCCGCAACCAAACCATCCTTGGGATGGCTCACAGCTTGTTGAAAGCCAAGAACATGCCGGCACGCTATTGGGGGGAGGCTGTCACTACGGCAGTTTTTCTGCTCAATCGCGCGCCGACAAAGAGCTTGGCCAACATGACACCTTATGAGGCGTGGCATGGGAAGAAGCCGGCGGTGAGTTACCTGCGCACGTTCGGGTGCCTGGCCTATGTCAAGGACGTGCGGCCTCACCTCCCCAAGCTCTCTGACTGCAGCAAGCCGATGGTTCTCATCGGATACGCCGACGGAGCCAAGGCGTACAAGGTGTTCGATCCGGTGTCTGGACGAGTGCAGGTCTCGCGCGACGTGATTTTCGACGAGGGCGCTGGGTGGGACTGGGATGCGGCGGGCGCTGCAGCCGTCCCCGGCGGCGGAGGTTGCTCAGACTTCACCGTCGAGTACCTGACAACGGCCACATCACCGTCGCCTTTGACCTCGGCGCCATCATCTGCATCTTCGGGCGCTTCCGCGTCAAGGGCAGTCACGCCGTCGTCCGCCTCGACACCCGCCACCTTGGCGTCGGCCTCAACGCCCGCTACACCGACGTTCGTCTCACCGCCACCAGGCGTCGACGAGAACCTGGACGCGGAGCAGGATGATTGTCCACTGCGTTATCGCAGTATGGGTGATCTACTGGGCAACGCACGTACGCCTGGGTTCGCAACCCGGGATCCGGAGAAGGGGGAGCTTCATCTCCTTGCGGCCGAGGAACCAGCCTCGTTCACTGAGGCTGAACAGCGGCAGGAGTGGAGGCGGGCTATGCTGGATGAAATCGCCTCAATTGAGGAGAACAACACATGGCGCCTTGTCGATCTCCCGTCCGGCCATCGTGCAATTGGCCTCAAGTGGGTCTTCAAGCTCAAGAAGGATGCAGAAGGCAGAGTGGCAAAGCACAAGGCTCGCCTCGTCGCGAAAGGCTATGTGCAGCAACCCGGCATCGACTTTGAGGAAGTGTTCGCCCTGGTTGCACGGCTGGAATCTGTTCGGCTGTTGCTCGCTCAGGCCGCGCAGGCAGGCTGGACAGTGCACCATATGGACGTCAAGTCCGCGTTCCTCAACGGTGAGCTAGCCGAGGAGGTCTACGTCAAGCAGCCGCCCGGTTTCGTCGAGGAAGGCCGTGAACACCAAGTCCTTCGGCTTGACAAGGCGCTGTACGGGCTGCGCCAAGCGCCCCGTGCGTGGAACTCCAAGCTCGACGCCACCCTGCTGTCTCTCGGCTTCCGGCAGAACGACTGCGAACATGCGGTCTATGTTCGAGGTAACACCAGTGCACGGTTGCTCGTTGGTGTTTATGTCGACGATCTAATCATCACAGGGACAAAGGAGGATGAGATCGTTCGATTCAAGGGCGAAATGAAGGCGTTGTTCAAGATGAGTGACCTCGGGCTTCTCAGTTTCTACCTGGGTATCGAGGTCGAGCAGGTGGCGGGCAGCATACGGCTGTCACAGGCAGCGTACGCACGCCGTATCCTTGAGCGAGCAGGGATGCTGGGATGCAACCCGAGCGCCACGCCAATGGAACAACGCCTCAAGCTCAGCAAAACCAGTGCTGCGGCGCCGGTGAACCCCAACTGGTACCGTGGCATCGTTGGCTGTTTGCGGTATCTGGTACATACGAGGCCGGATATCGCGTTCTCGGTGGGCTACGTGAGCCGCTTCATGGAGGCGCCCACCACCGAGCACGAAGCGGCGGTGAAGCGCATACTGCGCTATATCGCCGGCACGACGGAGTTCGGGTGTCACTACCACCAGTCCAGCAGCCCCGTTCAGTTGGTGGGATACAGTGATGCGGACATGGCCGGCGACCCAGACACGCGCAAGAGTACGACCGGTGTTGTCTTCTTCCTCGGGACAAGCCCGGTCAGCTGGCAATCCGTCAAGCAAAAGGTTGTCGCGCTTTCGTCTTGCGAGGCGGAGTACATCGCTGCGACAACGGCTGCATGCCAAGGCGTCTGGCTCTCTCAGTTGCTAGGAGAGGTCAATCAAGAAGAGCCGGACGCGTTCAAGCTTCTCATTGATAACAAATCAGCAATTGCCCTCAGCAAAAATCCGGTGTTCCACGAGAGGAGCAAGCACATCGCTACCCGCTACCACTACATTCGAGAACGGGTGGGAGATGGCTCCGTTCATGTCGAGTTCGTCAGGACTGAAGGGCAGATTGCAGACATTTTGACCAAGGCACTTGGGCGCACACGTTTTCAGGAGCTTCGCTCCCGCATTGGCGTTGCCGACGTCAAATTCAGGTGCAAGACTTAGGGGGAGATTGTTGGATACTTTGATTAAGTTAGCACCTGTTCTACCGCTTTGTTAGGGTAGGTTTTATCTCGTGTCTTTTACTTGCATGTTTTCAGGGCTCGGTTATTAGAATGAGCGCGTCCATAAGCCCCGTGCGTATGTTCACGGCGTGGCAGTAATGTAGCGAGTCGCCCGCTGCACGATCCGATCGTGTGCGATGGCGCACGACGCACTGGGTCGTGTGGCGGGCAATGCGGATCACGTCGATCACGTTCTCTTGTATTTCGCAAATAAAAGGAGAAGTAAAAGAAACAGAAAAGCTGCGCCGTATTATGCAGCACAATCTCTGTGTGCAACTGTATCTTCCTCGCGTGCGTGTGTGTTGTGCTTTCCAGTGATCTCGCCGGCGGCTACCTCGCCGGGCTTCAAACTCTCCCATCGTTCTTGCTTGGGGGCTCCTTTTTTGCTGTGATCATTTTAGCTCCACTGGTTCTTTCCATTTTGAGAAAAAAAAAATCTTCAGTTTCCGGTAGCAAGAACGATGTAAAATGTTGTGTAAACGGTTGGAAGATCTTGGTTGATTTGTATTTTCTTAATTCAACAATTATAAGCTTATCATATCACTGGCTTTTGCATACGTCATTTAGAGACGTATCGTTATGCCTGAATGACAGATGTTATATCACTGGCAAACAATCATTTAGATATATGTATGCCATTTTGAGATGCAGTAGTATCATTTATGGATGCATAATTAATTCGAAAAAAAAACTCTGAATGATATAACTTGTTGGATGGAGATATCTCAGAGATGCATATCATTTTGTAAATGTCATTATGGACTATGTGAATGAAGACACAATATTTTGCGAAAAATGTCAATGATATTAGACCATATGCTCCCCCCGGATGCTCTCGCTGATGAAATGAGAAAGATATATTTGATCATCTCTATTCTCATGTAATCAGCACCCCCGTGGAATCAATGCAAACTTTGAAAATATCTCTCCAGTTCAATCTCTACCCACACGTAGGGATTGCCACAAAAATTACACATATCATCCCTAGACTAGAAAAATGGCTGACAACCGTCTAAGCTCCGATACACATCTTGGACGCAAAATACATGTATATACTTATATATACAACAAACATTTTCCTCATAGTACATTTGGATCATATACTAGATACATTTTCCACTGTTCTATTACACAACCCAGCATTACTTGATGACAGCAGCCTGAAGAACTGTGTGCAGTAGGATCAACCATTATAAGGGATTGAGGGGAAGCTGTGGCTTTCACCATCCTCTGCAAAAAGGGGGGAAAGCAAGAGGATTTAGAGGTCAGCGATCTTTGTATTGAAATCAAAATAAAATGATCATAAATTTATAATCGAACTCACATGCCTATATGGAATTTAGTTATATATTGAAGGAGGTGAATCTCCCAGCCACAACACAAATGATATTTGTAGAATGATATCTCGGAAAAAAAATGTCGTTTCCAAATTGATATTATCCCACATGGTATCTACCAAAATGAAATATCATAAGGCATGTAAGTAAAAATCAAAATCAATGTCCTATGTGATCGGTATATGTCTCCAGTGCATATCATCAGAGACAGAACATACAGGTTTTAATTAATGATGACATACATATGTGTAAGACACGTCCTTGTAATTAAGTTCTAACTAGATATGTTGAATTGTACATGGGAAAAAGATCACAAAAGTATGTACTTATGTATGAAAATCAAAGTGACAGCTATCTGATCCAGTACCGATAAAAAGAAAATCGTTTGTGCTGCTCTAGTGAGCCTGAAAATTCAGCAAAATGTTAGCCTAGCAAGTAAGTACTCTGCTGAACCTGAAAATTTTAAAAATTACTATGATGTCAGCAAAAAGTTGATAGAAGTTATCAACAAGAATCATATATGAATCGAGATCCTCAACAAGGAATGTACTAATGAGATCATCAGAGTGGTCAATGCCAACAAAAGTATTCTTCTTTAACTAGCTAGTATAGTATGCACCAGTTATTTTGGGAGATCAGCTGCTGGCAGATTTGTGAGTAAGTGACCATATGGGTGAATGTGAATAGCAAACAAGAGGTCACAAAGAGGAGGTGGTAGATTAATTGATCAATAAACACTAGGCAGTGGGCACTGGCTGAATCTAACTCCATTTAGTAATTTCTGTACCTTGCTGTTCCTAACCTAATTAGTCAGTGAAAAGCCTCTGACCAGTGAACTTTCAAAAAATTTAAGAAGGCTTATATTGACAAACTGTGTGGACAACCAACAAGCATGTTACTGACTGAGATCAACTGATTGTGCGATGAAAGGGAAAACTTGCAAAATCTGTAAAGGAACGAACAATAATAATAATAATAATAATAATAATAATAATAATAATAATAATAATAATAATAATAATAATAATAATAATAATAAAGAGTAAAGAGTAAAGCTCTTGTCTCCGAGGAAGTCAGCACACACGTTGGAGGCGCGGCTGCGCTGGAGCCGGAAGTGTTTGATGCAGCGGCGGCTGGGCAAGGTCGTGGGTGCCGCTGACAGGATGCTCCGGTATGAATCTCAGGAAGGTAGAAAATAGAGAGAAATTTGGGGAAAAGAGGAATAGGGGAGAGAGAGAGAGAGAGAGAGAGAGAGAGAGATGCAATCCGTCCAAACCAAGTTGCAGGGGAGGGATCTGAACGAGTGGGAAGGAGGTCGCATCAGTCGCTCAGGTCGTGGGGGAACCGGGAGGGAGCGAGCACCGCCTCCGCTACCGTCCTCTCTGCCCCACGGAGGAAATTAATCTCGTCGCTGAGCGCAGGTTGCAGGTGATGCAGCTGAGCGCCTCCTCCGCTTTCCTCTCATCTCCCGGTGCCGCCGGGGGAGCTGTAGTATGGTGGGTGCCGCCATATTACGATGTGGAGACGAGCAGATAACAGATCGCGCCGTTTTTCCAATTTCACCGGATTAACACACAAAATTACGAGTGTTGTGACCAATGTGCCCTTGGTCATTCTTCAGGCCAGTGAGACAAAGGGGATCGAGAGTGAGAGAAAGGGGATCGAGATGTGTCGGCTCTTGCTCACGGTGGCGCCCTAGATCGATCTCGTCGGCATCGCCATTCCACCCGCCGCCACAGTACCTCTCGCCCTCACCCAGCTGTAGCTCATGACAGCGCTGCCATCGCCATTCCACCCGCCACCGCCGCCGCCACCGCAGTCCCAATCTCGCCCTCACCCAGCTCTAGCTCACGGCGGTGCTATTCCACTCACCCGCCACCGCCGCTGCTGCAGTCCCCCCTCTCGCTGACGCCGAGGGCAGCCTCCGGATGCCATCATCCCCGACATGAGATAGGAACAAGGTGGAATCGATGGAGTATAGCGGCGACGAAGTAGAGCGGCAGCGTGGCGGCGCTAGAGAGAGCGCCGGACTAGGACACCGCTTGCTGCTTCATTTGGCACAAAACGACCCCCAGGGGCAATTTGGTTAGCAGACAACTCACTTACGGGCTTAATCCGGTGAAATTGAAAAAACGGCGAAGCAGCGTGTTGCACGAGCGTGGGGATGGCATTTTAGCGAAGCAACTTGGCGGAATGGCATTACAGCGAAACCCATCCTTGAAAGTGGCTAAATGTCAATTTTCTCGGCGTCGCCATATTTCTCAGACCTCCTTGCCGCCGGATCCGGCGGCCCCACGCCTGCCACTACCAGACACGATGTGGACAAGAGCATATAAGGCCTCTCATAGTGCAAGCACCGGTTATGAGTTACCACAAGGTAACAGCTAGGATGAAGACACTCTCTCCACAGTACAAGCACCACCATGTGGGACCCACAAATATCTGCCACACCCAAATCCCCCCAATCCTCCTCCCTCATCGCGCATTCACGCCAACCACCCCACCAAATCCCCCTATCGTCACGCGCGCCGGCTTCCGCCCTCCTTCCTCCGCCGGAGGTCGACGACGCCCTCTCTCCCCTCTCCCCTATCCCCTCTCTCCGCCAGCTTCTCCCCTCTCCCCGCCGGCGGCCGCGCCGCCGTATCTGGCCTGGCGCTGGGGACGGAGGTGGATCTCGGCGGCCGAGCGGCGGCGGAATCGTCGAGGCCGATCGGCGGCGGCGGCTTCAGGGCCGAGCGGCGGCGACGCTCTTGAAGGTACCGTGGCTGCTAGTGGAGCTGGCGGCGGCGGCGAGGCCTTGCTGGCTCCCCTCTCACCTCACCTCTCCGGACGAGCGGCGGTGAAGGTGGAGAAAGAGGAGGCGAGGTCACAACCTCCACAGTGCGAGATTCCTTCCCCACGCTCCCTCTTTTCGGCGAGATAACGCGTCTCCCAACTAGGGGCGCGCGGCCAAGCAGAGGTGCGGGTCTCGGTGCCACGTACGCCAAAATCCGAGCTGGCGGCACTAAGGCACGCTTCAGCTGTGTGCACTGTGAGAGGTCTAACAGATCGTGGCGTCGCCCTTATCATCGATGTCCATCCAGATTCTCTTTCTCTTCCCTTCCTGGCGTCGCCGCCACCATGCTGAGTTTGCTGACCGAAAGGCCTCCGCTAACTACGAGGACAGGCGGGTTATTCAGTGGAGCTCCCCGCCGGCGGCGGCAATAATCTGCTGGCCAAAGGCTAACTAACACGCTGAGTTCGCCGGTTGCCTTTCCACTCTCTCTCTCTATTGTCGAGGGGCAGTTAGGGGAAAGCACCAAAGTGCTAAAGCCCAATCTGTACCATCCCGGTCGCTTGTCCCTATAGTGAATCTTCATTTGGTGAAAGTAAGGAACATTTACCAGCACACATCTCAACCCACATGGATGGCTCAAATTCTAGGTGCAGGTGAACCAAGGTTCCAAACTGCCTTTATATATTTGTTTGGTGCTCCATAGTGTCCGGCTCCATGGTTCAAATAAGTATGAAGTTTTTTAAAATGTTTAGGTATTAACATTAACTACATTACTAACTACATTACTAACTAGTTCAAAACAAGTTTGAACTGAATTTAAACATAGTGTATATGTGTGTGTATATATATATATATGTATATATATATATGTATGTATGTATATATATATATATAGGATGCCCATATGGGACTCCATGGTGCCCGGGCTCCAAGGTATAAAACACACAAATTCTCTCAAATTTTTAAAAGTTTTCAAATTGTGAGTATATACCTAGATATATGAATTTGATTCATACTAATACCTAAAAGCGAAATAACTCAAACTAACCTTTATTTCACAATTAATTATTATATACCTAACGAATTATATGTTTGGATGTTATATACCTAGAACCAAAATATAACAAAAAAAAGTTCAAACTCAGTTCAAACTTGTTTGAACTTGTTAGTAAAGAAGTTAATGTTTATACCTAAACATTTAAAAAAAATTCATACTCATTCAAATTGGGTATATACTCAATTTGAATCTTGGAGCCCATACTCCATCTAGCACCAGTTAATTTACCTATATATAGATGTATATATATATATATATATATACATATATATATATATATATGTATATATATATGTGTGTATATATATATAACTACTATATGGCGCTATTGGTGCTACGTATTAAACATCACCTGATACAACCTCCAACCCCACCCACACACGATCCCCGCCTTGCCCCCACCAGGTCCATAGTATGCAGTTAAAGTTTAACTCACCGACGACCAATCTCAATCCCACACCTGCGCCTCCTCCCCCCACCCACTCCCATAATCCGAGTAAAATTTTTACTTGATGTTATTCAATGTGTGTCTGTGATCCAACGGTGGTTGCACATTGAGCGATTTTTTACCTCAACCATACAATGAATTGTTAAATACGAAACCAGTTATTTTTTAACTGTTAGCGAGACAGCCAATGTGTGTCTTGTGATCCAACGGTGTTTGCACATTGAGTTATTTTTTAACTCGATGTACTAACTTTATCTGGTATATATATTACGGATTCCCATCGTAGAAACCGTCCACCCACTCTTTCCTCTCCTTCTCCACATTTTACGGATCAGCGATCTTTCCTCTCCCTCTCCACATTTTACGGATCAGCGATCTTTCCTCTCCCTCTCCACATTTTACGGATCAGCGACGGTTTGTGGTTCCTCGTGGAGAGAAGAGGAACGACGACGGCGGTTAGGGGATGAGGAGTGGCGGTGAGGCAGTTCCGGTGACGTCTTGGCATCGAGGAGGAGCGGCGGCGGCGGCGGTTCAGGGACGAGGAGAACCGGCGTCGAGAAGGAGCGGTGGTGGTGGTTCGGGGATGATGAGGAGTGATGAGCCGGATCTGGCACGGCATCGGCTATGGGCACGGTGGCGATGGGCGACTGCGGGCGCAGCGTTGGCGGGCGGGTGGCGCGACGGCTCCACCTCTACTGTCGAGTGGCGACGGGTGCGACATCGGCGGATCCGGCTCGACACGGTTGTGGGCGCGGAAACGATAGGCGAATGCGGGCTGGAGGCGCGGCGGCTCCACCTCCATCACTGATCGGTGGTGAGCACGACATCGGCGGATCTAGCACGGCACGGCTGGGTGCAGCGGCAACGGGTGACTACGGGTAGGAGGTGAGGAGGCGGCGCATCCAGCTGCCGCTCCGCGCCCCACGCGCACGGATCTGGCGTGGATCTTGCACGGGTGACGAAGGGTGCGGCTGTGATGGGCAACTGTGGGCAGGACGCAAGGCGGCGGTGGATCCGGCCGCCACTCCGCCCCTACGCGCACGGCGCGACCTCCGCGGCGGCGAGCTCCACGACGGCCACCTCCACGACGCGCCGCCATCGATGTCCGGAGCAAGCGCTAACAAAAATTTAACTTATGCTATAGACACACACGCGCAGCGCGCCAGGAAAGCTCCATGGCGCGACTCACACCTGAGAGCTGCGGATTTTTCTTTTGTTTCTCCCTCCCACCGTGTTTTTTTTTGTTTTTTTCTGGGTGAATAGTCAATATGGTCCCTGAAGTTTCGCTTCGGGCTCAGTTCAGTCCTTAAGGTTTCAAATCATCCAAACAAGTCCTCCAAATTAATCATTTGGGTTAATATAGTCCTTAGACGCACAAAAAAGTGCCACGTGAGCATGCCAAGTCATCATCGCATGTAGCGGTATGAATGAGATGACCACTCTACCCTTATATACCATATAAAAAAGAAAGAAAAAACACAAATAGAAAAAAATAACAGGCCAGCAGCAATCGTAAGTTGACAATTCTAAAACGATCATACACGTGTAAAAACATTTATATTCTTTTTTTTTCTTTCTTTTCCATGTGGTATATAAGGGTAGAATGGTCATTTCATTCATACCGCTGCATCTGAGGATGACTTGGCATACTCACGTGGTACTTTTTGTGGGTCTAAGGACTATATTAACCCAAATAATTAATTTGGAGGACTTGTTTAGACGATTTAAAACTTCAAGGACTAAACTGAGCCCAAAGAGAAACTTCAACGACCATATTATCTATTCACCCTTTTTTTCTATACTCCCGCCGCCAGCAGATAGATCGCATCCTCCTCCTGGTTTCCACGTGGCTTTTCCAGGCCCTTTTTCTCCTTGTCTCGGTTCCCACAAGATCAGTTAAAAAATTAAAAATTTACTGCAGTTGTTCAATTCAGTAACAAAATTATAAATTACTTAACATATAAATATTTCGAATTGTGATCTCTATCACGAGTAAAAAAATTACTTGCCATAAAGAAACACATCTCGGCCCTCTCTCCTCTGTTACCAGTAAAAGAATTACTTAAAATTAATTACTCAAGAACCTAAGAACATCAGTATACGTTTTTCTCTCGTGCATGCATCCCTTTGCTCCCCTTGTTCCCTAGTAAAAAAATTACTCTCAACCTTTTTAACCGGCCGTTTCCGTTCTCCCCGCCCACATCTATGGGAAGAAAAAATCTTCTTGTCAAAGTGAAATTTTTACTAAAACGTATTTTTTGATATATGATAGTAATGTTTTTACTAACAAGTATATTTTTTAAACGAAAGATCCGGTAGCAATTTATTTTCTCATAGGTATTATATGCACAAAGGCTACATATTAAATAATATATTTATTCCGATTTGAACCACATACATTGTAGTTAATTTTTTTCATCACGATAATAATTTTGTTACTCTGCATATTTTTGCATTAAGTCAATCTGGGTAAAAAAATTACTTTGACATGAGAGTTACACATTTTATATTACAATGAAGGAAACGAAAGTAGGCAAGATTTAGCCAGCCATTAGCGTCGATCTAGCCGACTTGTTCATCTGCAGTCCAGGAACGATCGGATCAGATGGAGCCACAGACGGTCTTCCGTGAGATCCGATCTGTGGCCACAAGACGGTGACAGACGGTGAGACCGGCCGAACCTGGCACACATAATGAATCGCACACAGAAGAAATCCAGCAATTCGCACGGAATAAGCATCACTGCATTAGTACAAATTTGAAACTCAATGACTAGGAAGTAGGAACCGATTGTAGCTACATCTAGCGCCATCATACATGGAGGAAGGGGATGTTAACAGCTTTGTCGAAGGCCTCCATCCCCATCGACGGCGACCTGAGAGGCGCGGCCAGCGCCAGTCACTGGTCGCCGGGCCTGCAGTCCATTGTTGCTGCCCGCCGAACGAGGTCGATCGTGACCTTCGCCACCCCAGAGAAGGGACGTTGCAGCATTGTTTGCATAAGTGTACAACCTACTATCCTATCAAATCAAATATCATCATGAGTGCTGACTTACATAACGAATCGAGAGCTCAAAATACAAGAACTAAAAATAGATCAAATCCAGCCCAAAAAAAATAAAGATTTGCTTTGAAGACCAAAGAACAACACAAATGCACCAGAGAAGACCGTGTTCCAATGAAACTTGCAGATCCCATCTGATCTGGTTTGTCTTTCTTGCATGAGGCACTACCAATTTTGAGAACAAATGCACGCCGCGTGACGAACCCACGCTGGCAGGGGATTTCGATCTTCATCGTTGTCAAGCCATCTGCTCCTCACCATGCAAGCCACAGCGCGTATACGAGCGAGGTCGCGACAATACCCCACGCTGGCTGGCGCATGGATTGAACTGACACACACTGGCCACTTCTTCCTAGCCCACCGCTCTGGCCACCGGCCGGAGCGAGGCGTTGTTGCCGGCCGGAGTCCGTCCCCATCAACGGATCTGAGAGACACATCCACCTGCGGGCCCACCGTCACCCATCGCAATACCAGAACAACCCCACTCGCTGGAGGAGGAGGATGAAGGTTGCCTCCGGCGTCTCCTCATTGACGCTGGCCAGCCCGTCGCCGCTCTGGATCCCAGATGCCAAAAAAACGGAGAAGGAATGGGGAGAGAGAAAGTGGAAATAAAAAGTTGAGCTGCTGCACAAATATATAAATAGAATTATTGGCATGAGTAAAAAAATTACTCCCATTTGAACATGAGAGGATATGGTGGGGTGCGGGGATGTTGGTGGGAGGCGCGAGTAAAAAAATTACTAGGATCGGGTGAGGATGGTGTGAGGAGTGCCACGAAGCTACGTAGCATTTAAGGTGCCATATAGTAGTTCTATATATGTATGTGTGTATATACACACACATACACACATAAATAGATACATACAAACATACATACATACAGCTAAACCGCACCCAGGATGCATAATAACTAAAACGCTCTCCTCACATACCCCTTCACTCACCCCCGACCCCCCACCCCCACTCCTCACCTGTCCTGATTTTTCTTCCCTCGTCCTTCTCTTAGCAAATGATTTACTGTCCTGATTTTTCTTCTCTCGTCCTTCTCTTAATAAATAATTTACTTTCAGTTGATTTCCCCTTTCAGTAAATATATTACTCTACTGATTTACTCTTTTAGTTGATTTCTTCGTTCAATAGATATATTACTCCCTATTGATTTCTTAGGAGCACAAATTGTGTTGTCACCCTCAGGGTATATCAAGTACGTGCAAATTGCATATATACTTGCAGAATGCAAGATTAAATGGCAGGAGATGATTGGCTATACGCAAACTTTTGTTCTTTAAGTATATAATTTGTTTCACGAGGACTTGGATCTGGTGAACCATTAATGGCTGTATATGCATTAAATATTTAGATCAGATAGTACATGGAATATGAAAAACTCGATAGTTGCAGTTGTTCCGAAGGGACAAGTCGCTCTCCTCTACTGACCGGAGACAGTACTTTTAAAAATAAAAACTCGATATATACTTCTGGGCAGCAGATTAGAGGGAACAGAGCCCTCGTCCCGAGGGGGTATGATAGTAGTTCTCCACCCTTATCTCATTCCTGATTTTTGTACTTGCTCTCAATAAATCATTTACTCTCAGTCTCCTCTCAGTAAAAACTCTTGATATGGCAACAAATATTAGTTCAGTCTTCTCTTAATAAATAAATTACTTTGTGCCTTTTCATCATCCATCTTCCTTGAGTAAATAAATTACTCTTAGACTTTTTCTTTTCAGGAAATAAATTACTCTGCAGGAGTAAAATATTTATGCACATCCAGAAAATGTTTGGACAGGATTTAGTATTACAACGACTGTTTGATCACACACGCAATGCGATAGATTGGTAGAATGCACAAAAACAAATAAAAAATTACAACACCAACAATGATGGATATGGCTGGCACTAGACTCAGTCACCATCCACAAGAAAATCAATCCACCAGCTGATGGTCTAGCACTACTATTCCCATCATTGTTTATCCAATTCTGCAAGAGTGAATTAGATCGGTTGTTATGATGTAGTAGTAACTGATGGAAGCAATGACAAATTGACAATATTTACCACAAGAACTTGACTGAGTGGTATCTTAAAATATGAAACCAGCTGTGGTGTCGACATATTCAGAGTAACATTACTCTATTGGATAGGACCATATGTAGTGAGCAGTGAGCAATTTTTTTTTAAAAAAGAATAGATCTGTTATGTTGCTGCTTGGTAGAGGGCGGTAAGGCCACAGGCGGTACGTCGGTAAGCTACCGGCCAGTCCATCTGCTTTGTTCAATCACAAAATTTGAGAGAATTGCCATCCAATCAAGCTCCTTGATTTTTCACGTATTGAAAATTTCAAAACGAATAAAATAAAGGAGCTAGCTCAGTTGCAAGCAAACGTACCTTGTAGCTAGCCGACTCATCGTGATGTACGCAGCTCCCTGCCCATGCAGGATTGATGTCATCAACGGGGCTGACCCACCGCAACAGAACCAACGCTCATTCAAAAAAAAAAGAGTAAAATTCACAAAACTACATGTTTTATGGATCAAGTTGCAGAAAACCACACATATTTTGACACTTAACACTTGAGTACGTATATTTTGGTAGTTTAGTTTCACAATACTACACTATTGATGAATGGATTCAGCCGTAAGATGACGTGGTTGTTCCATTTAGGATGAGGATGTGGTATCCTATTAATTTCGTGCGATGGCTGGTAATAGGATGCCATGTCTTCATCTTAGGTGAAACAACCACTTCATCTCACGGGTGAATCCATTCATCGAATATGTGGTTTTGTGAAACTACACTACCGGAATATATGTACTTAAGTGTTAAGTGTCAAAGTGTGTGTAGTTTTCAACTTGGACCACAGAACGTGTAGTTTTGTGAAATTTACTCTATAAAAAAATACACATCACCACCGCTCATGGATAAAAAAAAATTGAACATTCTTACAATCAATAGGATCATATGCAGTGTGCAGTTCAAAAAAAATGTATCGATTTGCTCAGTTGAACCACAAAATTGCAGAGAATTGCTATCCAATCAAGCTCCTTGAGATTTCATCTATCCAAAATTTCAGAAGAAGAAAATAAAGGAGCCAAAAAAACATAGCCCAGTTGCAACCCAAAACACCATAGCTACGGTAGCATCATCCCAAGCACGCACATATATATATATATATATATATATATATATATATATATATAAAATCACAACTGTATCTTGCGAGAAATCAAGAATTGCTTCAATTAGAAGCAGAAAATCACAAATTGCATCTTTAACAAAAAAAAAAAAGTAACTACGAACTGGGTGCATTTTAATAATGAACCATGATTAATTTCTTATAAAGCTCTCAACAATAAACCATGAATGGAAATAATGGTACCTTCACTGTAAAGGGAAACTAACCTTCAGATCTTCTTGCTCTCATAGACATTTTGTCGAACATGCTGTGAGCAGGGAGAGGGCACCTAGAGTGGAGGAACAACCAAAGCACCGATTAGAAACAAAAAGCAAAAAACAAATGTGATGCATGTACACAAGCCAAATTTCAATCCATCTGGTGACAAAGAGTAGCAGCTGCCATTGCCATAGCAATCAAAATCAGCAACAACAACAACAATGCACAGAAGAAAATATTTAGGGTGGTAGAGTACAGGATGTAAAATTGGGATTTTTACCTTGCTCGGCTTCTACTGCAATTATTCGTTTCTCTTGCTTGAGCCCTGCAGCCAAACTCTGTACTCTGCCAGCAGCACCATCCTTTGACAACGACATCTACATGAGGGGATCCCTGCTGTTACGTGCAGCTTATGGCCATAGTAAAGAAGAACCTTCATAGAGTTAGCATTAGCATAACCAGAGAACAGGAATTAGAATAGCAACAAGAAAACAATAAGCTACCAGTTCATGTGCCGCCTCCCCCGTCGTGGCTGTGGGTGCCGCATGCGTCTGGGCCAGCACCTGTTCGTCCCCAAGCTGTCCAGGATCAAGGTAGCCACCATGCCGCCGTATCGAGCCCGCAGGCCGTCAGTCACAGTGTAGATCCCAGTGGATGCCGTCCTCCCTCACGCCTGACCTCCTTGTACGGTGGAGCCTCATCGCCGACCATCTCGTTGTCAGCATCGACATGGATGACGATTTTCTCGTGCAGCTGTGAATCGGCCTCCTCGTGGATGCTGCCTCCGCTGCTTGGCCGTGCACGCCGTCGTCGAGGTTGCCGCTAGATGCAGGCACCATTGTCGGCAACTCATCTCGCTGACGCCAATTACCCATCGCCGTGGCTGCAAGGAGACCATCGCTAGATAAAAAAAAAGGGAGAAAGTAAATTGAAAAGCCAGAAAATGGTGGGTTGCGATGGATGCCGTCGCCCCTCACCGATGGATCTCGTCGCCACCACATGGAGCTCCGCCTCCATGCTATCGCCCTGACGAGCCAACCGCACGGGAGAAACCACTTACACCCGTCTCCACCTGCTTCTCATCGTCTCTTGTTATGATCACTATTTTCTCTGATCCAGAAAAAAAGGAAGAGAAGGGAGTGTGAATGGGAGAATTGGTTGGATACGATAGAATGATTGGTTATGGACGGTATAAATACTCATGCTTTAACGTGGTAAAAAAAAAACTATCTTTGTTGTCTTGTGTGTCGCTTCATGCTTGCTGGTAAATATAATTTGTTAAAAAAAATACTAGACGACATTGTCTTATATGGTGCACTATTGTGGTTGTCTAATTAGTAAAATTTTAACTGCCAAAATTTGATGGATGTGGTTTAGCCGGGATCAGTGTGCATGGTGTGCTGTTGAGCTATGGGTGGGACGTGGGGGTGTATCACACGTAGTTTAATATGTAGCGCCCTAGGTGCTGTATAGTATAGTAGTTCTTTGTATAAATATATACATATATTACAATTCCTTCGGACTTCGTAATTATTGTTTCTGTCATATACTACTTCATCTCAGAAGAAGGACCAGCTTGAAGAAGAGGCTTTCCGTCATAATAGAATTCTCCCGCGGGATCAATAATCTGCTCGTTGATGAATCCCATCAGTTGTTCTTGAATAACCCTTATGAAATCTGCGTGGGTGAGGTTTTCCCTCATGTAAATCACCTGTCATTTAAAAAAAATGAGATTTAAATATATGAAATCAATAAGATAATGGAGACATAATTAATGTATGAATAATTTTACGTATTTAGGCAGTGGATATACTCGCAGACGTAATAGCCACACCAGTAATTCCCATGATCCTGGTTTGCACACTGGAGGAGAAATGACAAGAGATTTAATATACATTTTCTTTTAGAACAAATTAATGATTCAATATAATATTGGAGCATGTACTCACTGGAAAATTAAACCTTCGGCTAAGTTTTTTTTTTCCAAGTCCTGGGGACCAATTGACAGAACCGATCCCATGCCCTATGTACAGTTGCAAGCCAGGATTAATTATTATCCGAGATCCGCATAGTACTAATAGAAAAATTCATAATGACAGTGAAATAGATGGCATTACCTATCTATCACTTCGAAAATCTTTGTAAAAGTAGACTCTGGTTTATCAATTGAGTCGTAGACATGGACTCTGCATGAGTTAAGGTCGAAAAGAAATAGGACCCAGTGGAATCTGCACATTGCGTGAGATGATATATATGAAACTGTATATATACGAGAAGGAAATTTGAACGAACGGTAGTAAAAACTCACAATGTGTTGTAGGGCAGTAGTATGAACGTCTTTAAATGCTGCTACACCAGAAAATGGATGATATTATCCTCTGTGTCTCGCTCAAAGTCTTTTATCATGCGCGTGTTAACTTTGCGGGGGTCCATGAATCCAGTATTGTAATTTCCCCGCCTACGACACAGTTGAATCTCCATTCTACAACAGACTAAAGGAATTTTTATGAGCTACATACAAGGAGCTAAGGAATGCCAAAAATTGAACTATAAACAATACTTTACAAAACCCATGCGCTGAGAAGAGAGACTTCGAGGGCATCCAGCTGGTATAAGTCGAAGACATCCTTGTGGAGGATCCACAGAACATCTCCTTGGAAGTAATCTGCGTTTCTTACCCTCGCTCCGAACATCTCTCTACCCCTCGATGATTTTTCCATGTACCATTGATGGTACCAGTACATCTGTGTAGGGAGGGTGTTCACTTGATCAGGCTTGACAAGCAGTTCATCGAGGGTAAATTTGTACTTCAATTCGGCCTTTTCGATAGGTGTGTCTTGAAGCAATCGCTCCCTCTTTGGTCCTGTCTGTTTCGTCCATTGTCTTATCTCTTGTTCGCCAGGTGGCAACAACGGCTCAACGTCTTGTTGTGGTTGATGCCCCAGCTGAGGGAGTGCTTTGGACTCTCTTCCTCTAGACTTCATAATAATAGCCTTCTTCATTGTTCGATCATAGTCCAAAAGTACGATCTCTTTGACCGGTGCGCTTATCTTCAGAAAGAACTGCTTAGTCGTCGGGTCTATAGGAATCTTCTTTTCTGGACTCCGAGGCTTGAAGTGTACCTTCACTTCCGCTGCAACAGATTCGTCGATCTCCTCCGGAGTGCAGTCATACGCCCTTTTCTTGAGAGCGGGGAGCCTTGGCTCGTCAAGTTTTGCCTTCTTATTTGAACTTGACAGCGCGGGATGAGTTTGGCGGGACCTTGACTTGGTAGCAAGTGCAGGCGGAGGAGTTGGTGCCCGCGGACACGACGGTGCAGACGTAGGAGGTGGAGGAGGCGGAGGAGCCGAAGGAGACGGTGCAGGCGGAGGAGATGGAGGAGCGGATGTCCTTTATTGCCTGGGAAACATGATGTACCTCTTCCGCCAGAGTATAATGGCGTGGGCTGTGTCTCCTAGTTTCGTCTCCCCGTCTCCTCCGGGGATGTCCAGCTCGAAATCCTCGATGGTTCGTTCCACCAGCTCTATCTTGAGCCTCGTGTGTCCAGGTGGAATCGAGTTGCAATGGTATGTCCCTGTGTATCCAGGTGGAATCGACCTACAATGGTATGTCCCTGAAGGGTCCATTGGTATGGCCATGCCTGACACCACCTTCATGAGAATTGACGTTATTAATTAGTAATCAACCTATGTAACAACTTCCGCAGTTTACAATTCATATATCGTAAAACTACGAGCATACATTGATTGACAACTACAGGATGCCCGCTGTGTGATCTCATCAACAGGGCAGTGGGGTTCATCGTGAGCTGCCACTACTTCCATGCTCTGTGATCCTTCTTGCCCCATTGATGCGCAGCTGCTGCGGTTGCTTAAGGGGCTCACCATGATGGGCAGAATGGACGGTTGTGTATCCTGACCCCGCTGTTCAGCCAGGCGTTGGCCCACCTGTCTTGACACCTCCTCCTGCATCCTTGCCTCGTAGTTTGAGACCCTGTACTCAAGATCTACGATCTTAGCCTCGGTATCTCTCTTGCTCCTCATGCGACTCCTATATGTGTGGATGTCCTCTTGAAATCCATATTTGGAAGGAACCACGCCTAGATGGACTTTCAATGCATTACAAATAATTTACATCATCCATACAACAACCTATGTCACTGTCTTCCTCATGTACTTTCTCCTCACTATTGTTCCTTCGCTATGATTGTTACGTGAGTAAGGGGTGTCCTCCTTTGATAGGAGGGTGCTCGAGTCGACCGTCACCGCGAACGGAGGTTGCTCCTCAAACTGATTGTAATTTTCGTCAGTCTTATCGTCGACTCCAACGATTTTCCTTTTGCGTGGGAGAAACACGTAGCGTCTTGGCTCGTCGGGCCATTTTCCCTTCTTTGGTTTGCTATCCATGTCCTTCACGTAGAAAACTCGTTACAACATTGGCTAGGATGAATGGTTTGTCTGAGTATCCAACCTTGTTAAGGTTAACCGTTGTCAACATGCTGTCATCAATCGTTAGGCATGAGGACCTAACCCATTAGCACGAAAACAGAGGGACCTTCAGGGGTCCATAGTCTAGTTCTCATATATTGTCATGACATCGTAATACGTGCTAGTGGTACCATCATATCTCATGGCAACGATACGAACAACACTGTTCTGGTTCATGCTCTTTCTATCTTGGGCTCTTGTGTAAGATATGTACGCATTGATTTCATATCCTTGGAATGTCGAGATCGAGCAGGATGGTCCCCTAGCCAAGAAAGCTAGTTGTCGGTCAATCGTCTCATTACCCATGATGTGTTGTCGCAGCCAGGCGGGCAAAGTATCAATATTATGGCGTGTAATCTAGGCATTGGACTTGCCATTGATTTCTGAGTGAACAATCGCCAGGTGCTCCTCGATGTAAGGAGCCACCAATGAAGATTGCTGTAAAACCATGAAATGTGCTTTATGGAATAAATTGTTGTCTACATTCATAATTGCTCTCCTTCCAAGAGTGCCCTTTCCCCCGTAGTCTCCCCTCATGGCTTGATTCGAGTACCCCGATTGGATGAAGGTCTTCAAGAAAATGTACGCAGAACTCAATGATCTCCTCTGTTCCATAACCTTTGACGATGCTTGCTTCCGGATGAGAACGGTTATGAACGTACTTCTTTAGAACGCCCATGTGCCTCTCGAAAGGAAACATGTTGTGTAGGTACACAGGACCGAGAATACCGATCACTTTCACAAGGTGACATAGAAGATGCGTCATTATATTGAAGAATGATGGTGGAAAGATCAACTCAAAGCTGACAAGGCATTGCACCACGTCCTCCTGAAGGGCTGCTAAACTGTCTGGATCGATGATCTTCTGCGAAATTGCGTTCTTGAAAGCACATAGCTTTGTTATTGTTGCCCGAATATTATTAGGAAAGATACCACGAATTATAATAGCAAGCAGGCAAGCAGCTGTGTCATCAACACGTGGCAGTCATGAGACTTTAGGTTTGTGAACATCTTCTCCGTCGTGCTTATTATTCTCTTTATATTCGAGGAGTATCTAAATGGTACCTTGATGCTCTCTCTGAGCATTGAAACATACTTTCCTACTCTTCCTTGCTCAGGGCGTAGCTGGCTGGACTCAAGTAATGGCTTCCTTTCTCCTTCGGTTACGTATGAAGGCCCTCACGCTGTTCCGTATGCTTGAGATCATTATGTGCTTCGAGTGTATCTTTTGACTTCCCATATATACCTAGGAAGCCCAGAAAGTTGACGCAAAGGTTCTTAGTGAGGCGCATCATGTCGAGTGCGTGGCGGACGTCCAAGACTTCCCAATAGGCCACATCGCCACGTCACCATTTTCACTCTCGATGGGTTGGCTTTCGGGTCCCTTTCCAAATACTACTTTCAGATCATTCACCATAGTAAACACAGATTTTCCGTTGTGATGTTTAGGCTTAGTACGGTGGTCTGCCTTCCGTTCGAAGTGATTGCCTTTCTTCCGTATAGGGTGGTTTGCAATAAGGAATCGACGATGGCCCATGTACACAACCTTTCTGCAATGTTTCAGATACGTACTTTCAGTTTCATCCATAGTGAGTGCAAGCCTTGTACTCCTTGTTTGACTGTCCGGATAGGTTACTAAGTGCAGACCAATCGT